AATAAAAATTGAACGAATCCACTGGAACACCGTATCAACAACCAACGATGTCACAAATGATTAATGAAAAACAAATAAATGCAACAATGGGGAAATTAATGATAAATTCGAAAAATTTCTGAAACTTCGAAAATGAAATGATGGCTATTGACAGATAATAGTGAAACATCTAGAAGCATGAAATTCCGGACAATGGGTATATTACGGTATGAAAGAACGCAAGACCGTTAATGGAATCAAAGTATTCATTTGTACTAGTTTTCAGGATTGCACGGCTGAATTCCATCGCTACATTGCCCCTTTGCAAACTTTAATGCTTTTCATGCATTGCAGATTGATAAAAATGTTTGATACTATTTAGTGATAATCACCATTGCATGGTGATTAACTTCAGTGTTAATATCAACAACATTCATTTCTGAGCTCATTAGCACGGCTGCTCGGTAAATCTCGAACAACAGTAACTCTGGAGCTCAATGCTCGGCGCCGAACTATCCTACAAATCTAACATAACGTAGACCTCTACCACTGCGCTAAACAGACGTTAATCCCACTTTCCTGTGCAAAACAGTTAAAGTTAGTATACTCGTTTTTTTCAGAATAAAAAGCAAATGGACTGGATGATAGAATTTGAACAATAATTAGAACAATACACGAAGATAAGAATAGACTGCTGAATTGCAAAAAATAGAACCAACAAAAAAATACTGAAAAAAAAANAACACACTACCTGACGCTAGCTCGTTGAGAGGCCATAACTTCGAATGGAGTGTTCAAGCTTCTCTTCAGCCTATCCTCACTCATAATGTCTCGTTGAGCGAACATATTTTCGGGTGTTATCGATGGACTTCTTCAAAAAAGTGTGTAATATTACAAATCTTACGTGATGATGGATTGCCGGCAATCAAGCGAAACAACCGTCAAGAACACAGCCAAAAACATATCAAGATGTTAAGTGCATATTTGATACATACTCAACACTTGACTCTACTGACATGCTGATAAAAAATTTTTGATATCAATTGAAATACGCGAGACCAGTTATGGTTGGGAGTATCTGTGGACAGAATCGTGAGATTAAGAGGAACTTTGAGTAGTGAATAAAAAATACCTATTGTAGGTACTATCGGATGTCTTCAGGTGTGGGTCAAGAGTAAGTGAGCGACTGAAAAGTGGTTCATTGTCATGTTGTGGTGTCGCTCGATTACGGTCGGTAAGCGTGCCCACGCCCAAACCCTCAAAAACGTTTTGGAGGACCGATGTGCTGCCCGTCTCGGCACGATGAGAATCAGCACCTCCCGGTTTCACATGACTCAACGGATGACCAGGCTTCAGCGAAGCGATCTGAAAATTTTAGCGTTACTTTTTTGGACGACGATGAATCAGAAGATTCAATGAGATATAATTCCATAAGGTTAAGAATCATGAAAAATGAGAAAGCATGCAATAGGATTTCAAGGTGAGAATTTCTTCTAAAGAAGCAAGTCTGACTCTCATATGCTACTACTAACTG